TCCCGTCCAGGAAGTGCGCGGGGTCAAACATCTCGGGGTTTTTGAACTGGGTGGGGTCTCTGTGCACCGAGTGGAGGAAAGGCAAAACGTTGGTGCCCTGTTAGGGGGAGGAAGAGAGGCGAGTCGGCGGGGGAGTGGGGACATCTCGCCCGCGGCGCTTCTCTCCGCAAGGCCTGCCCGTCCTTCTGCTTAGCCACCCATCAGCGCGAAAGATGCCCACTGAGCCTCCGCTCGCTTCACCCTCTGCAATCGAGACACAGAGGGACAGGTGGCAGGTCCCTGCTTTGGCTAGGCAAAGCGTGTCGTCCGAGGCTTTCACAGTCACCCCTCGGCCTGCATGGGGCTGTAGGAGAACAAAAGCATCGAAATGGCACCTGGCCAATGTTACAGCAGTCTGCAGCTGTGTACAGGATGCGCATATTCGGGAAAAGTCTGCACAAAATGTATTAGGTTCAAGGTGGGGGGGAAATCACTGAAAAATGTGCAAGGAGGAAAGTCACAGTATATTAGTTTAGGGGAAACGTGTGAAAATCCACACAGTATTTCGCACACATCTTTTGAAAATGGAGAAACTGCGAAACTACACGGAACTGCCTCTTTCTTCCGCAAAGCACAACTCAGGGAGTTTGCAGTTCCCTGGCAGGGATGGAGGGAGCCGCAAGGGATGAACAGATCAGAATTAAAACTGCAGATATTTGTTTATTTGCTTGACAAATTAATAGGGCCACCCATCTACCAAAAGGAAGTCTGGGGGCGAATAAGAATAAAAAAACACAATATGACTAGAAAAGAAATAATGTAAAGCCACCAGTACAACTCGCACCCCTCAGTCAACCCCGTGTCGGCTCCATCCACGCAGGAGAGAAGGGCGTGAGGCCAGAAGGTGGTGCTGATGCCGCCAAATCCACCACCCGCCTCTTCCCCCCTCCAGCCCCTGCAGATCCGCCTTAAGAGAAACCAGGTGCCACAGCTATGAAGTAGAACTAGCGCCCCGGGGGAGCTGAAGGGAGCGTGTGATAAGCCCCGCAGCATCCCCTCCGGCGCCCACAGCCCACTGTGGCCCAGCTCTCAGGAAAGTACCTCAGGAAAGAAGCAGCCCTGGAAACGGGTGTCCTTGGTAAGTGCGTGGGGGATGCCCATCGGGATGATGTCAGCGAACCTCTGCACCTCGTGGATCACAGCGTCCGTGTACGGCATCTGTGCCCGGTCAGCGATGGACGGGCTGCGCTCGGAGCCAACAACCTTCGCGATCTCCTCCTGTACCTTGGCTGGAGACAGAGGGTCAAGGAGCGTGCGTGAAGGTTGCCCTGTGGCGGTCTCAAGGGGAAGGGGCAGCTGCCCAGTCCCTCCGGCCCCACGGGGAGCAGATCACATTGCAAGCGCCGAGGAAGACGCCCTTTCCGGCTGGGTCCCCACCACCCTCTCTACTCCTCAGCCCTGTTTCTCTGAGTGGAGCCTGCTGGGCGAATCCAGCTTCGGAGAGGGGAGGCGGGCCAGTTCCACCTTGGCCAGCCTCGGACGCTCCAGATGCCATGACCTGTGACTCCCGCACTGGCTGGAAGTGAACGGTCTCTGACCTAGAGAAAGGCACGTCCTCTCAGCCCTCACCTGTCACTTCGGGGAACTTCATGAGGATGAGAAGGGCGTAGCGGAGGGTGGTGCTGATGGTCTCAGTGCCCGCAAAGAACAGGTTGTGGGTGGTCATGATCAGAGTGTCAGTGTGGAAGAAGCTGAGTGGATCTTCCTTCTCCTGCGGGCACAAGCACAGGGATGTCCGGGGTGAGCGTGTGCCGACCAGAAGGGGCCGCCTCCTTCCCTAGCAGGGCCACGCAATCTTTGTGCAAGGAGGGTACATGTGTTTTCACTGATGAGGGTTGCAGAAGGTAACCATGTGATTACATTGCTAAAGAGACGAAGAGATATTTTTCCTGCAAAATATAACCCAAACTCCAAGTCCTCAGTTCCTGCAGCTAAGAAAGCTGATCCCCTGCATGGAAGATTTGCCATTTGGCTGCCCCTGAATCAAATCTAGCCTCCTAAGTTGCCGTCAGCCACTGCTTTTCCCTCTCCCTGCTGGTGTGTGTGTGTCTGTGCGTGTAGAGGGCAGATTTGGCTCAGGAAGCAGATGTGAGAAAAGGAGGAGGTCCTCTTTATGAACAGAGGACCTCCTCTGGAAGCAGAGAGGAGTCTGGAGGAAGGTGCCCCCCCCAAAATCTCCCCAAGCCTTTGCAACTTGTAGTTGGCCAGGAAGTTCAGCCTTTGGGCAGCACTTGAGTTACTACACCAGCTGGGAAGTTCTTGCAGAGGCGAACCAGGTCCATAGCAACATTGCTGCCCCTTCCTGAAACCGAACTTGCATCATGGCCACCACCCTGGTTTTGACTGATGGCAACCCTGCCCCTCCTCTGCCAGCCCCAAGTGGAAGTGCCCAAGGCCACCCCGGGGGATTACAAAGCCCACTCTCACCTGCTGCATCTTGAGGAGGAAGCTGTCCATAAAATCACGCGGGCAGCTGGGATCCAGGGTGGCCTGGTGGGCCTTGGCTATCTCCTTCACCAGAGTCCGCAACTTCTCAAAGTTGGAAAAAATCTGGTTGTGTGGTCCAGGCAGATAATACATGATGTGGGGGAAAATGTTGTACATCTAGAAAGAGGCAAACGGGATGAAGGGTGTCCCAAGGAGGGGCCAGGGAGGAAAAAAGTGTGGCTTCTGGAAAGCGATCAGACCAATCAATATTGTGAAGCAGGGGTCCAAAGGATGAGAAGACCTCCCACATCCCACCATTCTCTAGGCAGGTTTCCCTGATGGACGCCTTCCGTAATCCTCGGTGAACATAGAAGGGCATCTCACATCTTTAGGACTTGACCATGGAGAGGAAAAAGAGATGTGGGCTCGGGTGTCTCCCTCTCACGTTGAACGTGCTTTTAGAAAGGCAGCCTCCTTCATCTGAAGGAGGAGCCAGCGAGGCCCCAAATCCAGATCAAGACCTGGGCTGAAGGCTGCCTGTGCCAGACTGACTCTGGGAAGTCCCGTATCCCATGGGGCTGCTCTGGCTTAGCGGAGGCTGTCTGTTCAATAGTGGCGTCCTGGCCCCTGCCTTATTCACCCTCACAGTCCCAGCTGCCAGGGTGGTGGACACTGTGGAGAGGTGAGCCAACCTCTGGCTGAGGCCAGCTGCTTTGCAGATGACCCCATGTCAAATTCACCTGTGTCGAAGGATTAGCTTTAATTGACTGGTCGGACTCTCTGTGACTTAAAGTAAGGTTAGGGCTCAGGGGCGCTATGGAAAGAGACTCTGACACTATGAAAGTAGTGCCTGAGGCTGGAAAGAAATCGGCGCCACACGGATTTCTGTTTGTGCCCTTGAGATGAAAAACTTGAGCTCATCAGAAGAAAGGTGGTAGAGGCTGCCGTGACCACAGGCCCTGCAGATTCCACCCCGGAGACGGCAGCAGTCGCCCCTCCCTCACCCCGCGAGGCTGGTCCGTGTTCTCGTGCCCTCAAGGCTTGCGCCTGAGAGTTTGGCCCTGCCAAGGCGGATGCTCACCTGAGCCCAGGAAGAGCTGAAGAGGCGGAAGTTGTCGTTGATCAGCCCGATAAAAGTCAGGAATTGCTGGTCCTCGTAGTCAAACCGATCTCCGAAGACTACGGAGCAGATGACGTTGGAGACCGAGCAGCCGAGGAGGAATGTGGGGTCAAAGGCCTCTGCAGGGAAGCGGCGGCAAGAGGAAAAGGCCTGGTGGGCTGAGGGCGTTTGCTAGCCAGCAAGCCCACCCCAATGCTGGGGCTCCTTCACCAACGGGAGATTGCACAAAGGGGGGTCCTGAGTCTCTGGACGAGTCTGGCAATTTAAGGAGCGAAGCCCTCCGTGAAAATGAAAAGCCAGTTGCTCACCCTGTTCATCAAAATTGCTAGTGTTATCATCATCAGTTTATCTGTATAGTGCCCCTCCTCCCAAATACAAGGCGGAATGTTCCAGGGCGGGTGCAAAATCCCTCCTTGCCGATGCAGCCCATTTTAAAAGCGTGCGCTTAACTGTCTTAAGAAGCTGCCAAGGCCGGGCCCTCTCCGAAAGGCAAGGTGAGGCCAGTGGCCTCAGCATCCTCCCTGTCCCTGGGCCAGCAGGCCTGCCCACCTTTCATCCTGGCAAACTCCTTCACCAGGCAGCGGGCCTCCTCCTGGATTCGCTCTTCAATGCTGCGCCTGCCCATTCCAAAGTCCCGTAACGTCTGAATGGCAAAACGCCGCAAAATCTTCCACTTTTCCCCATTGGAGAAAGCAATTCCTGTTTGGGACAGGGAGGTAGAGAAGACAATGGCTGAACTGGTCTTGAAACTGAGGGTCATCCAGGTGGACAGTCAGAGAGCTCCAGATGTCCACAAACAAGCAAGGGTAGGCTGCCCTCCCTGAACTGGCCACTTGCGTCCCGAAGAAATGACCGGTCACACAGAAGAGGATTTCCTCTGGTTGCTTTGAACCCCCACCCATCCTGTGGCAGCCACGTCCACAGGAATAAGGTTGTTGGAAGGTGGGGAAGGCTGCCTGGTCCCAGAGGGCTTTGCTTGCTCCCAGCCCACAGTTCTCTCTCTATCGAGGGGATTCCCGAGGAAAGCTCAGCCACTGGACTCACCGTTCCCTTGAGTGAATCGGAACAAGACCGGCATGTCTCCCCGACCACTGAACTCCTCGCCTTGGTCCACCAGGGCCTCCTTCACAGCTTGGTACCCACACAGCACCACCACAGGCCGGAGCCCCATGTAGACGGTGAAGATCGAGCCATACTCCTTGTTGAGCTAGGGTCACACAAGCGAAGGAGACTCGGACCAGGCTGCCTCCTCCTGCGCGATGCCCGGACACCAGGAGGCTGCCCGCCAGGAGGGCCTTGGCCTTCCAGCCCCCCCTGCTCAACCAGCTGCAGTCGTCACCAAAGCCCTCCTCAGAGCATCTCCCGGCTACCCAACCTTTTCTACCAAGCAGGTTCCCGACGTACAGCAGAGGCCAAGCTTACCGCCAACAAGGACTTGATGATATTCTTGGTATCCAGGTGAAGCAGGTTGCCTATGAAGGGCAATGGTTGAGGCCCGGGGGGAAGGCGCGCCTTTGTGCCCCGTCCATCTCCTCGAAAGAGCAGCAGCAGGCAGGAAAGGCAAAGAGCCAGGAGGAGGACGGTGACTAAGCTGACTTCCATGGGCCAGAACGCTGGCTGGGCTGACCAGGAGAAGGCTTCAACAGAGGCCGTGGGTTCAGGTGCCAGGCCTCCCGTGCCCTGGGCGGGGGGGCCAAAGACTGCAGAGAGAGGCGTGTCCCCTCCCACCAGAACCTGATCCCTTCAAGAGGCTCTGCCAGGCGACGCTGCTCAAAATCAGGCTGGGTGTCGCTTTATATAAGCACCTCTGGTAACATCGGAGCGGGTCACTTGGCCGCTTGCGCAACCCTTTCACCTTGGAACATGAGTCACTGTCAGATCACCAGTTCACTGTCAAACATTGGGCCTCTCCCAAGGGAGGCGGTGGCCCCGGCTCAGGGGAGAACACGCCCCTGCACACAACATGGTCCCGGGAGGGTCACCAGGCGGAGCTGGGAAAGACGCTTCTGGGCCCCGAGCTGGGGACCCCCCCGCCACCTGCTAAGCCAGCAGGAACTCCCAAGCTTGGGACCAGCCAGACAAGATGGACGGCCCTTCCTCCAGATGGTCCAGAGGCCGCTAGCAAAGCTCCTCGCCTCCTGCACGTGTCAGGCCAAGCCGCCCAGCGCACCAGAGGCCCATCGCTTCTACAGAAAAGGGCGAATCACCATAAACCCTCAGGGCCACTGCAGGAGGGGAGGGCTGGGGCCAGGGCAAGTGGAAAGAGTGAGCAGCCATCGCCTCTGCTTGGAGCCCTTCACGGCTTCAGGTTGGTGGGATCTGCTTAATTTTTTTACTGGAACTTGCGATCCGGTTTTGGCAAACCTGCGTGTTTGAGCACCTGGCGGCTGGTCTCTCTTTGCACCCTTGGGGGCTTCCTCTGTTTTTTAATAATAATTTTATTGAAGATTATATTATACAGATAAAACTAATACAATCTACACAGTATAAAATACATTTTAAAAAGGAAAAAAGATTTTTTTAAAAAAGTGCAGAAAAAGAAAAAAGAAAAGAAGAAACCTCCCCCTTCATCTCCAGCAAATATGATTGACATTAACAACTTATCACTATCTCTTAAAATAGAACCAAACAACTCTTCATCCCATACCTCATCCCATTCTCTATCAACCAATCTCTAAAACCCCATCAGCAAAAGTCCATTAAGGATTATCAGAAATAACAATGTAACTATTACAAACTATATCTACTAAACCTAATTTGTATCCTTCCTTTTATATCTCCATTTCAATTTAAACATATATTTAAAACGTTGTTGTCCAGTCCCAATCCACAAACCATTAAACATTACCAGAAATAGCAAGTCATTTATCTTAACCTTGATCAAATAAACCAATGTTGCATCCTTTTTCCTTTCTCCCAACAATCTTCAGATCCCTCAAACGAAGTTCTAATAGCTTCTTTCTCATATTCTCTCTGCCTCTTCTCTCAAAATCCTTGGTGTCTTTATCAAGCCCCTTTTGTAATTCCAGCAGAAAGAAATTATCCATGTCGTTGTTCATATTCTCTCTTCTTGGAAAATCTTTGGCAACTTCAACAAATCCCTTTCATAAATCCACTGTAAAGAAATTGTCCACATCACTCTTCTAGTTTATTAATTATTACATCATCATCTAGTTTCATTTGTAAATCCATTATTTCCATCTCTTTCTTATAGGCTATCATTTCTGAATCCACCTTCAAATCAATGGGGTTTGTTCCTCTTCAGTGACATCTTCTAATTCTTCTGTAATAGTAAATAACTTTAAAACTTCCTGAACCCATTCTGTCATGAGCCACGATTCAGAGCCTGACTGAATCTGATTCTGACAATGTTGCTCCAGCTGAGCCTGTGGCATGTCAGCCTCAGGAATCATTGAGCCGTGATGCACCTGAAGTGATCAGCCACAGGCACCTCCTGATCAGCTGGAGCAGTCAGATGACAAGACACAACCCCCGATCCAGACACACGCAGAGGCGAGCAGGGTAGTGTCAAAGGGACTCCTCGCAAGGCAAAGGGTGAGGCCTGAATAATCACAGCCAGCTGCCAGCAGGGAGATTTCTATAGCTTGCTTTGCCTTCCCTCTCAGTTGGAAAACAACCGTTTGAGAACCGAGCTCGTGTCTTGTGTGTATCCTGAATTCCTGACTTCTGGACTGACTGACTACCTGATTTGGGTTTGTGACTTTTGGGATTGTAATTAGACTACCCTTTTGCTTCTCAGAGTATAGATGGTACTTTACTTTGATAAGTCTTTGTTTATCAACTTGTCTGCTGTTATCGGCTTCTGCTCCTTGGCAACTGTGTCTGCTACCTTGAAACAGAACACATTCATCGTAGATCTCAAAGTAGCCATCTAATGGTCTCTAGAGCCCAATCTTCAGAGTCATCTTATCAATTGTTTCCAAATAGAGACATTTTTCCATGGGAAAGGATCTATTCAATTAACTTCAAAGTCTTAAATCCATCTGAGCCCTTAATCCATTTAAAACTTTCTAAAGCCAGCACTAATCATCCTTTTGCTGTATATTCCAAAAAAAATTTTTTTTTTTTTTACAAATCTTTAAACTTGTAATTAAAACCTCTTTTTTAAAGGATTGAAGAAAACTCACCCAGTGATTTCAATAAGATTTGCTGATCTGAAGGTTCTCAATCTTTAAAAAGCAGGAAAAAAAATTAAATCCAAAGCGATTAAGAGGTGAGCCTCGGTGGAACCAAAAATCCATATAAGCTACATTAGCAGCTACAAGCTCGATGAAATCCCACGACTCCCAGCCAAGTGCAAACTGAGTGCACAAATGCACTTTCTTGCTGTCTCTTCACAAAAAAATAGCTGTCAGGAGTACATGTGGGTAATCTTGAGATCTTTCCTTCTCTGGAAAGATTATGGCAGCCCAAATCCAGCATTTGGGCACAGTTTTCGACCGCAGTGTTGTCCCTCATTCAAGAGACGTCAGTTCACCATGGTGCTCACCAGAAGTCTTACCATGAGGGCTTCCCCAACTTGAGTGGGGAGGCGCCAACCAAGAGCCTCAAAAAGTGGAAAGGAAATTGTTGCTCTGCTTGCCCTCCCCCAACCAGGCTCACGGACCCAGCTTCCATGCCACTGCCCCCAAGATTCATGCTGGGCTGAAAATACCATGGACCACACCCTACACCTCAAGAGCAAACGCTGGGGGTCTCTCCCAGCCATGAAGGCCTCTGGGAGCAATGGATGGAGGGGAAGCCAGAATGGGGCTTAGAGTCACCACAGATGCAGGAATCTTGGTAAGTCTGCTTCATCTTCCCCAAGGACCCCACTGGTGCCCACCCAGAGTGCTATTTGCAGTCCATACCAGCCTGACCAGCTTAGTTCAAAGTGGGCTTGGCTATGACTCTGCTCAGCTCTGGGATGTGTGCAGTATTGAAGGAGCACCACTGAGCATGTACAAATGAGATCCTCCTTCACGTTCAGTCCAGGTATTAATTACCTGAGACAGAGGCCCAGAACAGGAAATCAACAAGTGGGCTTTAAATGAAAGGGCTTCCGCCCCATAATTCCAGCTCTGGGCCAGAGTTACCTCTCTCAGCTTGAAAGAGAGAAGACACAGCTTCCTCAGAGCATCGTGACCAGGCATTCCAGAGGCCATCAGCTGGCTCGCATGGGCCAGAGGAAGGGCGAGGGGTCAACCATCTCAGGCTGGGAAGCAGTTTGGCTGCCTCCTGCCCCAGGCCAGTCTTGGTTTCCCTTGTGAAGAGGTTGCTGGAAGCCAGCCTGAGAGCAGGGGCACTGTTGCTATCCATGCTGTGAAGGGAAGGCTCTCTCCACATGCTCAGGAACCCCTGTGGTTGTGTCCCAGGCCTGTTGCCTGATGTGGAGAGCAGATCCAGGGACTCAGCCTCCATCCCCAGAAATGGGAAAGGGCTCTGGTGCCAGGGAATTATCAGGCTGTTACGAAAAAGCCAGGATACGGTTACAGGATTAGATTTCCACCAACCTTGGCTCCTCTACCACCACCTACCCCACCCCAACCTCACAGTGTGAAAGCCTCATGCCCTCTTTGCCCAAGCATTGGGGAAACCAGTCACCCAGCAGATTAAATGTCAAGAATGTTCCTTGAAAATGCCCTTCCCTAGTGAAGATCGTTAAGGAGGAATAATTGTACATTGTTTAAGGCAGCTAACTCACAAGGGTGTATGGAGTACTTCACAAGATCGCATCAGTCATGCCAACAATCCGGGTCCTTGGGTTTGTTGGTTGTCTCTGAGCATTTTGGACACGCACGCACGCCCTGCCCCAGGTAATAAGATACCCATTGTATGGATAACAGGATGGGTATCTTCACACAACCAGCATCAACAATGCAAACCCACACCTATAATGCCATCAAAATGTGAAGCGGCCACCCGCTTTGCTCCGAAAGCGCAGCCCTGGGTTTTGGTGGGACTTGCCTGCCTGAGGCACGCGGAGGCGCAGCCTCAGCCACAGACACAGCTGCAGAAGGGCACCTGGCCTCGGCCTCGGCCACCAGGCACCCATGGCAGCGTCCCCACGAGAGTTCAAGATTTGGTTGGAGGCTGGATGAAGTACCCAACTCTGGGGTCAAACCCGGGGCTGAGCATTTCTCCCAGGCAGCTGTCCGAGCTACTGCCCTCCAGGTGGTTGGACCACAGTGCCCAGCATCCTGATCCTCACTGAGGGCAGTGGGAGTTGCAGCCCACCCGTGGCCGGTGGCAGGCTGGGATAAGCCAGTCCCACTGCTCCTGTTCTCCCCACTTTGGAACAGAAGGAAGGCCCTGTGGCTGCATGGCCCCACGCTCCACCTCGCCCGCCTCTCACCAGGACCTGGGCTGCCCTGTTCCTGCCCCCCGCCTGAGGTGCAGCCCGTGGAACTGGCTCAGTTCTCTTTGTGGCTCTTCCTGCGGGACCCCTGGGAGAGTGGAAAGCCAATCCCCCTCCTTCAGGACTTGGGGGGATTCCTCTTTATAAGGATCGTACTCCATCGGGGCGAGGGGGCTCTTTTCTCTCTCCCCAAACGCTATTGCAGATTCCTAACGTTCTCAGCCAACGGTGTTCATAAACAGGAAAAGTGGCCCCTTCTTACCGAGAGGGTCCACACCTCCTTCTCACTTTAAGCCCCCCCAGAGCAAGAGATAAAGTCCATTTCTCCTACAGTCCTCACCTTGTTGCCAATCCCCCTGCCATAACGTGGGGATTGGCTTCTTAGCAACGGACGTTTGGGGGGGGTAGGCAGATGCATCTTAACTCTCGGGAGTCCTTAGGGAAACTTGTGATGGGTCGCACCCGTACAACTCAGTCTGGTGAACCTCTGAACCGGGCGGCCTGGCTGGTTTCGCCCGTCCTGGCCTCGCACTGGCCGTTCAGACCGCCCTTCTTGCGAAACCCGAACCACGCACCTTCGCTCTTCTGAGCCCTGCCTTGACGGGATCCCTTTACTGACTCTGGGGCACTACCTCCCCCCCCAGTTTTAGACCTCTCTTCCTTCCGTCCTGCTCTTTCCTGGAAGATGAAAGAATATCTTCAAAGGCAGCGCCACACCTCTCCCTCTGCACCAGATACGAAAATGCAGCGGCCTGGTATGCCCCCAACTGCTGACATAGTTGCAGAAGGTTTGGAGAGAGGGTTGCTGTGGGCACCACGTCAAGGTGGTCAACCAAAAGGGACGGAGCCCAGCAAAAACTAGGCAAGCTACAACATCCTTCTCCCAAGGGGACACCAGTGGAGTCTGCATTTAGTGACCCATTTAACGGAATTCACACCCACTGCAGCCCTCATCTGGCCTCAGGGGGGCTGTTTGATATATGGCCTCAGCGGCTGCCACATCCCTGAACGCAGAGCCAGGTTTTGACTTAAGCAGAGCACGCAAAGAGTGCCAAAAGAAAAAAGCCACACTTTCCCGGCCGGCTTCAGCTGCCGCAAAGAGAAGAGCAGGTTCACAATCCCCTTCGTTTTCGCTAGGAGATGCTTCTCCAGAGAAACACCAAAAATCTCCAGTGAACGTGTTTGTACATTTTCCATCTGTATGTGAGGGTCTTGTTGTTCAGTCGTGTCCGACTCTTCGTGACCCCATGAGCCACATCGCGCCAGGCCTTCCTGTCTTTCGCTGCCTGCCTGAGTTGGCTCAGTTTCATGCTCATTGCTTCGGGGATGCTCTCTAACCATCTCATCCTCTGCCGTCCTCTTCTCCTTTGGCCTTCAGTCTTTCCCAGCATCAGGGTCTTTTCC